CTATACACCGCAGTCAAATGGTTTGGTTGAACGGAAGAACAGAACATTAAAGGAAATGATAAATGTTTTGATAATCAGTTTTGGTTCACTAAGAAATCTATGGGGAGAAGTCATCCTTACGGCTAACAAGATACTCAATAGGGTACCCCGTAGCAAAACGCAATCGATTCCATATGAGTTATGGAAAAGAAGGAAACCCAACTTGAAATATTTCAAAGTGTGAGGGTGTCTTTCCAAGGTAGAAGTTCCTTTACCCAAGAGGGTGAAAATTGGACCCAAAACAGTGGATTGTGTATTTATTGGATATGCTATGAACAGTAAGGCCTGCCAGTTTTTGGTTCACAAATCTGATAATCTTGAAATTCATTTTGAATATGGTAATTGAGTCAGATAACGCTGAGTTCTTTGAACACATTTATCCGTATAAAACTGAATGTGAGTCGACAAGTGAAAGATCCAAACGACCACGGGAAGAATCAAAGGAAAATGCACAACCTAATGAGGATCCTAGGCATAGTACTCGCCAACGTAAATCCACTTCTTTCGGACCAGATTTTGTGGCATTCTTGCTTGAAAATGACCCTCCAACATTTAAAGCAGCTATGTCGTCATCTGAGTCAATCTATTGGAAAGAAGCAGTCAGTAGTGAGATCGAATCAATTTTAAGTAATCATTCTTGGGAATTGGCTGATCTTCCTCCAGGATTTAAACCTTTAGGATCAAAGTGGATCTTTAAAAGGAAAATGAAAGCCGATGGGACTATTGACAAATATAAGGCTAGACTTGTAGTCAAAGGATATAGACAAAATTAAAGTCTGGACTACTTTGATACATACTCTCCAGTAACAAGGATAACATTAATTAGGATGTTAATAGCGCTAGCGGCAGTGCATGATCTTAAAATCCACCAAATGGATGTAAAGACAGCCTTCTTAAATGGAGAGTTGGAGGAAGAAATTTACATGGAACAACCTGAAGGGTTTGTGGTTCCTGATAAAGAAGAGAAAGTGTGCAGATTTGTGAAATCGCTTTATGGGCTCAAGCAAGCACCCAAACAATGGCATGCTAAATTTGACCAAACAATGTTGGCAAATGGATTCAAGATTAACGAATATGATAAGTGTGTTTACATTAAAAACGTTCTGAATCATGAAGTCATTGTTTGTTTGTATGTTGATGACATGTTAATAATGAGTAAAGATATTGACAATATAAATGTTACCTAGCGCATGTTGTCCAGCAAGTTCGATATGAAGGACTTAGGAGTTGTTGATTTGATCTTAGGGATCAGGATTCTCAAAACTCCTCAGGGACTAGCATTATCTCAATCTCATTATATTGAAAGAGTATTAGATAAGTTCAAGTACTTGAATTTCAATGTTGTCAAAACTCCAATTGATTTAAGCTTTACATTTCAAAAAAATGTAGGTGAAAGTGACTCTAAAGTGGAATATGCCAGAGTGTTGGGAAGTTTGATGTATATTATGAATTGTACGCGACCAGATATAGCATGTGCTATTAGCAAACTGAGTCGGTTCACTAGTAATCCGAATCAAACTCACTGGATGGCAATGAAACGTGTGTTGGGTTATTTGAAGTATACACAACACTATGTTTTGCATTATAATAAG